GAGGCGGAGAGCCCGGCTCTGACCCGAGCCCGGCAAGTCAGAGCCCTGTGGGTCAGAGCCCCACGGGTCCGAGCCCGGCGGGTCCGAGCCCAGCAAGTCAAAGCCCGGTGGGTTCGAGCCCGCTGGGGGTCCGAGCCCGGCAGGTCTGAGCCCGGTGGGGGTCAGAACCCGGCGGGTCCGAGCCCGGTGGGACAGAGCCCGGTGGGTCCGAGCCCGGTGGGGGTCAGAACCCAGTGGGGGTCCGAGCCCGGCCGGTCTGAGCCCGGCAGGTCCGAGCCCGGCGGGTCTGAGCCCGGCGGTCCGAGCCCGGCGGGTTTTCACTCTGATCTTCCCATCGGACGGTTTGAGTTCAGCTGAAAGCGCTTCCTGTTCGCTCGCTGTCCTCTGGCCTCCTGCAGAACAAACACTTTCTGTCCGACTCCACGTCTTCAGTCGTCTCACATTTCATACAACTGAAGCTCACAGGCATATTTTACATTTCCCAGATTCCTCCCTAATCAAGGACGTCTGTGGGAAATTTGTACAAGATGTTCTCTCACATGTTTTCAAGTAGAACAAAACATTTTAGGACTATTTTTAAAGCACCCCCATAATTATTGACACTGTGAGAAATGACGTCTAACAGACCTGAAGGGAGCTGCAGCTTTTCTGCAGCACAAACGAGTCCAGTTGTCAGAGGAGCTCAGACATTAAGGAATACTTTCCACACAATCACAAAGCTGTTCACATCCTGCAGCAGATCTCAATTAAAATAACAAATCTAACTAATCAAGCAATTAAAACATTTGACTTGATTAAATAAGCTGATAAAATATGAGTTAAAAACAAGAGTGAGCTCTTTCTGCCTCTTTTTGCCTTTAAATAAATCACAATTGCTGGAAGAACTCAAAGCTTCAGATCCTGCAGTTTTCCACGCTGATGGAGAGGAGAAGAAATACATTTTCCAGTTTCTGATTGTTTTTATTTGTTTGTGTTTGGATGTAAAACCAGGAGTGGAGCGTTTGTGATGAGATTCCTTCATCAGTTCTTAGTTATCATTTTTATACAATATTTACATCCAGATGTATGTCTGGCTTCTTCTGCAGCGTTATGATGCAACAGACTGCAGACGATTTGTGATTGAGCTCCACATCTGGAAGTGACTTGAATCTGATTTTTGAGGTGAAAATGTCTTTCCTCACTTTGATGGATGGAGGTGGAAACGTTTGTTTCTGTTTTCCACCTGCAGAAGTTTCACTGCACTGAGGAACAAACTGCTGATGAAATCTTCAGTTGTCCTGAAGCCGAACGCTGAAGACGGTCCTGAATGGATGAAAACACCATGAGGAGCTGAAGCTGGTTCCGACCGAGGCCTCGGACCCGTCCGTCTCCAGACTCGCTGCTTCAGAGTGAAAGAGACGTTTTGCTCGATGGAAACAAAACTTCTGACCCGTTTTACTGAGGATGAAACACTTTCCACTCTGACATGTAAATGAGATTTTCTGAATGGATCAAGCTGTAAAATGAACTGGAACCAAAACTAGATAAACGATTGGTCATCTTAATGTTTAGACTGATGACTTATCAGCCATATTAGAGCCTTTTTTAGGTTGTTTTGCAACAATTTGTGTATCTTTAACACTAATAGATGTTTTTAACAAACACATATTCTTTTAATATGATAAGAATAATGATTTTAAATCAGCCAGAAGCTGCAGTTCCACTCACATCATCCACAGCCGGCTCCCAGTGGGAGAACTGGGAGCAAAATCTAATTAAAGCACCATCAGACACCGAGGTCAATTAAAGATCTCTGTGTGAAGATCACACACGAGGGGAAAAGTCCATCAGAAGGCGTTCCCGTCATGCAAACAGGATCCCAAACCAGTTTATCAGGAGTTTCTGACTGGCCGGACCCCCTGCAGGCTGCCAGGGGCTCAGGCCCTGAAACGGATCCAGAGGGCCGCATTCCTCAGCGTCTGACTGCTCAGAGAAACATGAGGCGAACGGAACCGACGGGCTGAAACAGAAACATGTGGGACGGAATAACCAGAGAACATGGCTGTCGGTGCCAACAAAAGACGCACCATGTGGTACGGATCAGGTCCGAGAACCGAGCGGCGGGCCGGGGGGAGAACACGGAGCGCTGCTCTGCTGGAAATGTGTGTGTGTGCCTGTGCATGTGTGTGCGCGCGCGTGTGTGCATGTGTGTGTGTGCGTGTGTGTGCAACATCTTTAGTCGCAGTGATTGCAACCAGCTGTGCTGTCGACTGGTGGCCTCCCTCGTCTCCTGCAGATTCCAGTGGAAGCATTCACACACATGCACACCCACCACACACTCACACACACACACACACACACACACGCACACACACACTCTCACACACACACACATGCAGTCTGCAGGCTTGCTTCGCTACACTGAATTTATCCAGAAAATGACCCAGAAATGAAACTGAGATGTTTTCAAACTCTCTCAAAGTTAAACTTCACTGTAAAACATTTGAGCCACATTTAGTTGCATCTATCTTCTTCTCTTTAAGTAAAATAAATTTAAAGCGTTTTAGATTTTGAACCTAAATGTGAGTTTGTGAAAGATAGACTTATAGTAAGTTGTTTTGTCAAACCTGCAAGAGTTTTTAGGTTACCACTTTAAAAAAACGAAAGACGGAAAAGACAGGAGTGGGAACTATCTCCCAGAATGCTTAGCGGTGTGTTGTTGTACCCTGAGATGGGAGCGTGTTACGCTGATCTGACTCTTGAGTGTCATTACGCCAAATGTTTATTTTAAATTTGCAAAGCGTGAGGATAATGCTGTGTTTGCATGTTTTTAAGCAGAATTGGTTGAGATGTTTAATAAAACTCTTTACCAGATCAGAAATGTTCGTGCAATTTGAAACAAGAATTTTAATTATTTTGAAGTAAAAATAAATAGTTATTTTGACTTTTCCATAATAACATTTCTAGATTTTTTTCTGGGAGTTTTTCTAACATTTTTTTTCTGCATGACCCCAAAATGAGGTTTGATTTTGTTTGTAGAAGTTAAATTACTGTAAATCATGATACTTTGTTTCACATGTAAACAAGACGAGCTGAATATCTTTAACTTAGAGCATCTGGAGGCCAAAAGAAACTGAAATATGGCTTAAATGTTTTTAAACGCTGGATTTTTCTCTGTCAGTAAAGGGATAAATAAATTAGCCAAAAACTCAAGCTGTGATGCAGCAAATTAAAAAAATAAAGGACGTCTCAGGAAGTTATTCAGAGAGAAAACATTTCTATTTCCAGGCTGGAAACATTCAAACATCTGGTTCTTTTACAAGCTAGTTCTCTTTGTTCAACTTTACTAGGTACTGGTTAAAAATATTTTAAAACTAATCCTGAAATTCTAAAGTTCTGACTCATGCTCATTTCCAACAGACACACAACGTGTGTGTGTGTGTGTGTGTGGGTGTGTGTGTGTGTGTGTGTGTGGGTGTGTGTGTGTGTGTGTGTGTGTGTGTGTGTGTGTGTGTGGTGTGTGTGTGTGTGTGTGTAGCCACTCTCTTTGGTTCACCACAATCCACTTCACCAAATCTTCCAGTCCAATTTTCCCTTTTCTCAGCTACCTCTTTCCAGAAAGAGAAGAAACGAGTCCGGCTGCTGATCGGCTGGCTGTGATGAATTGATTGGATAATTTCAACCATACGGGAACATTCAAACGTCATTAAGGCAACAACATGGCATTTGTCAAAGGTTACTCTGCCTGATGCGTGCCAAACACAGAGAACAAGGCCGGCTTTGTGTTTGTTTTGCTGCGTTAAGCGTCGGGTCGCGATTGTTCATTAATCCAGGAATCCAGGAACAGGACAGTAACGAGCCGTTTGTCCTGCATGACTTTTGTTTTTCCAAACCAAAGACTGGAATTTGTTTTCAGAAAAACCAAAAAACAGGAAAAAATTGTAATAATCAGACACATTGTTGACAAAAAAGAAAGCAATTTAGTGGCACCTAGTGGCAACAATCTAGATTGCAACAAAAATAGCTTCTACTTTCTTGCACAAACTACTGGATACATGAATTTAATATTTGTCTTCCCAGTTAAATATTGCAACATTACGAACAGTTAGGGCTCTTGTGAGTATTCCTGCTGTGTCTGAACATGTTTTCCTGGATATCACGGCCCAAACTCAGCAAATTCAAATATTTCCCCCAGGGATTTTATGAAACCTTCCCTGGAACAGAACAGAGTGCCCCGTGCATCATCAGAGACAGGAAGCTGGACGATTTCTGACACATCGTACCGAACCAGGCATGCCACACGTTTCCCGTCACTTCAAAAGCCGCACTGCTTTCACTTTCTCTGCCAACATCCAGCCGGTTATCAGCGGCGTTACGCAATAGGGCTGAGCAGTTTCAGGTTGTCGGGGTGATTCCAGCAGAGAGCAGTTCAGAGAAGACATTGATCCCAGGCAGCGAAATCACTGCTGGCCATGATTGGACTCTTCTTCAGGTGGAATGATTTCCTTCATGTGTTAACCTTTAATTTATCAGGTTTTACATTTTAGAAACTGGAAATACGACTTCCTTCAATCCAGAGCCACTTAAATCACATGTTTAAAAAATGACAATAATTCATACAAGTAATAAAAAAAAATAAAAAATTGGACAAAAAGAAAAAAAATTCCAAATCAATAAAAAAAAAAGCAGCAGGTGTTTTTTCTGTGTCTGGTGGTTTTTTGGTTAAAACATGTTTGTTTTTCATTCAGTTGGTAGAAAATCCAGAAATTTTACTCCAATAAGCAAAAAAATACTTTATGATATAATTACTCAAGTATAAAGTACAGTGTAGTAAAAATACATTTTTAAAAAATGTACTCAAGTAAATGTAATTTAGAAAATGTAACTGGTAACAACCGAACTCTGGATCCAGTACAAGCAAAAGGGGAAATAATTGGTGAAGACATCTAGAGAGGAATTTATCATTATTGATAGTGATTAGTGAGATCTCTGGGTCTGGTTCTGGTATGAAGTGAACTCACATAGATCTGCCTCTGCTGGTATCGCTGGTAGAGGTTGTGCATGATGGCGCCGTCATGCAGGTCCTCCAGCGTGGCCATGTCCTCCACGCCTCTGACGCTGCTGTGGTGCATGGGCTGCACCTTCTGCCTGGTGAGGGCGTTCTGCTTGTAGGTGTAGACCTGGACCGGAGCACAGAAAACACCGGGATCAGACCGGGACAGCGACAGGAACCCTGGACCTCATTCACACCTTCAAATGTTCCCGCCAACCAACGGCAACATCCTGAAAACCTTCATCTTCTGTGTCAGAAGAGTTAAAGTGTGGATTCAGAAGGTTCACTGTGACGTCAGCTTTTATTTTGAAAGGAACATTTTGAGTTTCTTAAGGCCTGGACTCAGTTCATTTTGGAATCTTTACACCTGGTCTTCAGGTAGACTCAGCCTCTCTGGAGACCAAGATGGCGACATTTGGTGAAGGCGCCATGATGAACGGGAGTCCTGAACAGAGCCACTTTGAATGTTTCTAGAGTTATTTTTCATTTTATTCCTGGTTCTATTTGTCTGAGCTAACTTGTCCGTGAACGTCGCTCAGCTGGTTGGGTTCATATGTGGCGGGATTTACAGCAGCTAGCTCCAACGGCTAGCTCCAACGGCTAACTCCAGCAGCAAGCTCAAACGGCTAGCTTAGAACCGGTCCGAACCTCCTGATCAAATTACAGACTTTCCCTGAATTCACACCACATGATTTATATCACTGTGCCATAAACATTGTTTTCCTTTACATCGAATTAAAAACGTACAAACCAGATGCTAACCAGTGTTTTCCATACATGCTAGGCTACATGGAGGAGCGGCACTGTCTCCATGGTTACGGTTAGACAGGTACCTAAATGCGATATTTGATATTTTTATCATATTTACGTATGAAGTAAATTAACTTTAGTCTTCGTACCTTGTATAAAGAGTTTGTCACAAATCCGCTTCCAGTCATTATTACTGACAGCTGCTGTCCGTCTTTCCTTATTAAATGTTATACAATAAAATGACAAGTTTGGTTTGTCTGTTTCTGACCGCGCAGCAAGTTAAAGAATTTTAATTTATTTAAAGTGAAATTAACTAAGTAGAAGCGATACTAGGTTACAATGTTTTCAGACCAGCTTCTAAGGAGCGCTTGGTCCGTCATGGCGGAGTGGGCGGGGCTCTGGGGAGCGTGACGTCACGTGCAGAGAGTCATTAACAGGCATCTTAGGACCAGGACTTACTTTGACTCCAATGTCCCTTTATCTCATCACACATCAGGAAACAAGATCGGTACCCAAACCTGACCTCCTGCTGACTTTGCTTTTTGTTCAATTTCGGGAGCAAAATATACCAAAAAACTTACGAAATGTGTTTGACTAACAGGCAGAAGTCAAAACATTTGTCTCCTTCTGTTCACCTGTGAAGTAAAGACCTGGGATGGAGAGAGCCTCCTCGTCCCGGTGAACCTGCTCGTGTCTCGTGTTACGTTTCTCCTTCCACAGCGTGACATCTGGCAGGCAGCGAGGATGCATTTGATCCTGAGCTGCAGAAGATGACTCTGAGGCTAAACGCTGCCAGGAAAAGGATGATTCTTGTTCAGCTTTAGGAGAAAGTCTGAGTCTTTTCTAAAGTTTACAGGAAGCAGAGGAAACTATCACAGATCAGTTGTTATTATCAGACCTGACTGGACACTGATGTATCTTTTCCAGATCCCGATAAAACTCACTTTTATGACATATATACAAATTAAGTAATCAAAAAGTAAAATATATATATATATTTAATGCAGTTGTTTATTGTTTTGAGGAGAACTGAATTATTGAGTGTTTGCACAGTACAGTTTTTATAAAAAACAAAAATGATGTCATTGATCTGGACTGACCAGTCCAGTTTCCAGGTTTCAGACACACTGAAGATTTATTTTGAAAGGATCTGGCATGTTGAGAATGTCTGATGATTCAGATATGATGTAGATTTTCTGTCATAAAATCATAAAGTGGAGCTAACACCGTGAGGCGGGGCCGGCTGTGGCCCCTCTGTGACCAGCTGCGGTCCACCAGTTCAGAGCAGCGATTCCTGAAACAAGCTGGTCTCTGTCTGAGGAGTCAGTCACCTCTGACCCCCGGCCCCCACGCACACTCACACATTAACAGCAGAGAAGCCCCCCAGCATCCTGTCAGCCTTCGTTTCTCACATTCCTCCCGCTGTGACGCGTCAGCGACAAACGGTTCGTCACTGAAGTGCTTCAGAAGAAAGCGCTGCGTTCTGCACCCAGCGGCCGGCGACCAGCGCTGACTTACCAGGACATGACGGCAGCAGAAACCCAACAACAAGCCTCACTGGTTTTCATCAGGTTCATTCACACCAGGGAGAGGCTCTCACAGCAATTTTACTGACTTGTTCATGACCTTTTGTTGTGTTATTCAATCAACAAAAAGTCATGAAGTTCAACGATGTAAGAAAAGTTCAAACACAGAAATTCCTTCAAACAATCCCAAACATTCCCAATCCAGAGCAATCCCAGAATTAGAGCTCCGTCCCAGTAGGACCCCAGATTTTCACTTAATTACATTTCTATATTTAGCTCATTTATCTCTCTGGAGAGTCAACAGGGATCTGCAGCTCGACAGAAAACCTGGGAGCCGGGCGCTAAGCCCAGCAGCAGATGCTATAGGGGTAAATCTGTGGGCCACAAAGTCAGCAGGCAGGAGAGGGCAATCTGCCAATAGTTAGCATCATTAGAATGCTAACTGCCACTAGTTAGCATCCTGATGATGCTAACCGCCACCAGTAAGATTCCTGATGAAGATAACTGCAACCCTAACCATCTTAGTGATGGTTTGCATCACTAAGATGGTTTGCATCTTAGTGATGCAAACCACCTCCAGTTAGCATCATTAGAATGCTAAATGCCACCAGTTAGCATACTAATGATGCTAACCGCCACTAACTGCTAACATCACTAGGATTTGCTTTTCGATCTGTCAGGATCAACTTTTATTTTAGATGATCCAGGAAGGAATTTACAGCTACAGGAAAAAAACTAAAAAAAAAAGTTGAAAATGAGCAAAAACGACAATCTGAGTTTCTTCACTTCTAGTTAAAATGTTGAATATTTTAGCTCAAAACATTTAAACATCTAAAACAGACTTAAAACTTAAAAAAAGGAACTGAATCATTTGTTTTTGTAAGATTTTTTTTGTAAAATCTTACAAAAAACAAACTTAAGTGGTTAAATGAAATATTTGCGGAATGTCCCAGTTTTTCTCAATGTATTGATTACACGTCTGAATCTATAATCGATTATTTGCAGCTCTGATCTCCAGTCTCTTTTCAGATCCTCTGAGGAAACAGTCTGAATGCACTGAATGCTCTTTATCTCCTTAAATGTTGCAATAGTGTTCTCTATTTTGATTTTGGAACAAACTTCCATCTCCTGTCTTAAACTGCTTCAGGTGTTTTTTCCTGACAGAACCTGGAGCGTCTGATCGGTCCAGTAACGTTTAACCATCAGCTCATATTTCATGCTAATAATCAGCGTGTCAGAGCGGCAGAATGACGGGGAAACCGAGCCGCGTCTGTGTGTCAGAGGTCGGCAGGTAAGCCTCCAGCTTCTCCTTTCTGTCAGCATCAAAAGCAGCAGCTGCTGTTTGAATCACCATTCATCTGCTGCTGCTTTGTGCTGCAGCCAGCCGGAGGAGGAGCCTGTCTGCCCAAACCCTGAAACCCGAGGAAGACGAGCCGCGACTGCGAGGCCTCTGCAGGAAAACTGCAGGACAAACGTCACTTATTCACTGCTGATGTCTGAGTTTAGATGCACAAACAGCTCAGAGCCACCAGCTGCGCCTGTTACATCTGAGAAACACTGGAGTCGCTGTTTACTCTGTTTAAACACAGAAATTATTTTCTTGTCAGTTTTTCAGGTCAAACTAAAGTTTATCTAAAACATCCGGAGGTCGTCTGGTTTGGATCAAAGATAAAATCCCACAGATTTAGTTTAATGTTTAAAACATGAGGGGGAAACTGATGTTGTGTTGAATCAGCAGTTTGTTTCATTTTATTTTCATTTGCTTGCTGATTTCTTTTGTCTCTTTGCTTTTAGATGTATTTTTATTTTATGTTTGTGAGCGAATCGGGTTGTAGATGCTGGAAGCTGCAGGTTTCATCCCGACTGATCGTCCATCACGTCTAAACCTTTCCTTTATATCCAAAACATAAATGGCCGACTCTAAACATCCTTCAGCTCCTGTCTGTTTCCACAACACGGATCAAAGCCGTGAGGCAGAACCAGCCGAGCTTCAGCGGCTCTGCAGCTGATCCACGGTACCAAACGGATCCTTTCAAGACTCCGAGCTGCTGAGTCGGGATAAATGTGGGAACGACTGAAGCTTCTTATAGAAAAGAAACTTTTCTGTTTTTATAGAAACAGAAAGTTTTCTGTTGAGGTGAATCAAATGTGAACCGCAGGTCCGATGACGGGCCGAGTTCTGCTCAACGTAGATCCACTTAGAACTCGGTTCTGCTTAACGAGTCCAGTCCTACAGCAGGACGACAGCTGAAAGAGATCTGGACCCAGAACCAGAACCGGTCAGAGATCTGGACCCAGAACCCGTAAAGTTCTGTTAAAATCATTTGAAGGCAAGTCCAGTACCGGTACCGGTCCACATTCTCATGGGAGAAAGACTCACCTGCGCTAAATTCATTTTTAGCTTAAGAGAAATGCATCTAGTCACAGAGTGCCGCTGCACCGATTGCAGTTTTCGGGCCGATCCGCGGATCTTTGAAGAGCCGGACCTGCCCGTTTAGATTCTGGCTGCTATTAATTTTGTTTCTCTGAAATGTTGCTAAATATAGTGCCAGGGTCCCTGGGAATGTTTTTTATCTTTGTGCAGGTTTCTCCTTGACCCAAACCAAGCCTGCCGGTCCATCAGGTCCGCCAGAAAGAGCCGAGACGGGTTTCAGAGTTCGGTCCGATCCGGGCCGGCTGAGGTTTCTCACCTGGCCGTAGTCTGTGGCGAAGACGACGACGCCTCCAGAGCAGGAAGACACGGAGCCGGGCAGGAACTGCTCCTCCTCCCGGAGCCACACCCGATCCCCCTGGAAACAAGAAACCGATCAATCAGTCATTAAAACCAGTTCCTGCTTTAAAACCATCAGGATCTTCTGTGATGCTCCTGAGATCAGGTGTCCTGAGGAGACTGACAGCACCTGCGGTTGCCATGGCGTTACCATGGCGTTACCATGGCGCCGACCTTTAACCAGGATGGCTTTCCAGGCAGCGTTGGGTTTCAGACCTGAAAACCTCAGCAGGATTTAATGTTCGGGTCAAACTGGAGAAACCCGGGTGGTTCCGTCCGAGTTTCTCCTTCTGCTCCTTCAGAAGGAGAAACCTGGACGGAACCATCCGGGTTTCTCCTTCTCCTCCTTCGCAGTTAAAGGAGCAGAAGGAGGAGAAGGAGGAGCAGAAGGAGGAGAAGGAGGAGCAGAAGGAGGAGAAGGAGCAGAAGGAGCAGAAGGAGCAGAAGGAGCAGAAGGAGGAGCAGAAGGAGGAGAAGGAGGAGCAGGAGGAGGAGAAGGAGCAGAAGGAGGAGAAGGAGGAGAAGGAGGAGCAGAAGGAGGAGAAGGAGGAGCAGGAGGAGAAGAAGGAGCAGAAGGAGGAGCTCCGTCTGATCGACAGCTTCGCCCGGCTGCTTTCATTCAGGACAAACGGATGTTTTCCAGTTAAATATTGACGATGGACCCCTGCTGAGCGGCGAGGCCACACGCTCTGCTGACGCTCATGGGAAAGCGGGAGTCTTTGGATGAGCCTCCCGCCTCTCTCTGAGCCTCCAAAACGAAACGACCTTTGACCCCACGGCCCCCAGAGGCACCTGGCAGGAGGGAGGCCAGCAGATGAATGTAAAGCTCAGGTTTGCGGGTTCAGCAGCAGATCAGAGGCCCCGGGTCCCCAGGGGGGCCTGGGGCCCCAGAGGCCCCGCTCTCCTCTCTGACTGAACGTTAAGACAAAATTAATCCATTTGCAGAATTTAAAAAGCTGCTGTACCAAAAAGCCGACAGACTATCATTCACTACCTTTCAGAATAAATATAAAATCACTAAAAAACGAATCCTCTTTGTGTCGGCCATTTTGTAACCAAACAGAACCTTCTCCATCCATGGAGACGGTACACAGACCCAGAACAAATCAATCTTATTTCAGCAACAAAGAGTTTCAAAAAATCCTAAAAACATCATAAATTCACCAAATGTAAGAAACATTTTATCAGGAAAAATAAAATATATTAATAATTCATTGATTATGAGTCTGAAGCAGCTTCAACCAGCTGGTTTAAGGAAATCAATGTTTCTGCTGTTTTGCAGTTTTCTGGAAGTTTATTCCAGATTTGTGGTGCCTAGCAGCTGAATGCTGCTTCTTCAGAACCAGAACCTGAGAGGTCCAGGAGGCTGACGGTCTTTCAGTTCAGACATTTATAAACTAACAACCGAAGCTTAAAGAGAAATTCACCAGGTTCATAATCCCGCGATGTGATTGGTCAGAAATGTGGACATCGACGTGAACGTTTCCCATCATCCTCTCCGGGTTTTCTATCCGCAGGCATCAGAACCTTTCAGGCGTTTATCCGACGCGGTTTGGACGTTTGTATGTTTTTACATCTCGTTAAAGCTCAACCTGACGGCTGCGGTTTGAACTCTGTGCACAAACAAATATTTGCATAACTCAATAAAATAAAGCAGCGTAGGAATAGAAAGTGAAATCAGATGTGTCCATGGCGACATACAGCAGGTAGACGGGCTTCTGCAAGCTGCTGGGTCACTGGGTGTTCTGGGTGTTCATAGATATTCCCTTCGGCTTCATATTTTTACAATAACAATAATGTGGATGCAGATCTGAGAGAAAGTTTTCCCCTCTGAACTATTGGGCCTCTGACAGCCTAACGAAGGGAAGTGAGACGATCTGATCCGTCTTGCTGCGTCTGTCGCTGCAGCATCACACAGGCTGAAAAGTTTCCATGTCTGGTCAGAAGTTCCTGCTGGACAATCGGTTTGATTTCATCTGATCAGAACCGTTTCTGGACCAACCTGTTAGAGGCAAAGCTCTCCATGAAATGTATTCGTTTATTTTACAGTTTGTACGTTTAGCAGCAGGTCGTTAGTTTGGACTGAAGTCAAAGGAAAGTTAAAGTAAAGCCTCCACATGGAGTCATATTTGAAAAGGACAACAAAAAGAAAGTCATGATGTTGACAAAGGTTGATGGCTGTTTAATGATCCATAAAGGAGCCAAACAAAGGAAGGAGCACAGAGTGCGGCCGGCGCTGTTTACCAGCAGAAACATTCCTGATGTGCAGCGGCGCAGGAATCCGCTGCGACCAGAGGGAAGGCCTCAGCGTCCCTCCGCCCCGCAGCAACACGCGCTCTTCACCGTACCCACCCATTGTGCCCCCTCTCCTAATCCACCCGGCCCTCCCTCTCTTCTTCTTCTGCACTTTAATCCAGCAGGAGACTCTCTAAACACAAACGTCTCCCTCCCTCATTCATCAGCGCTGACGGCCTGAACTCACATCAAAGTCCCAGTTTGGAGTTAATGATGGACTAAAGACAAAAAAAGCCCAGCTGCTCATCCCGTTAATGGATAAAAATCCCAGTTAAGGACGAGAAATCAGCCCAGAGAGAAAACCGTCAACATTTCTGCTGCAGAGTAAAACCCAGAACAAACTGAAACCAAACAGACTGAAACGTGACCCGAACGGGGAAACGGCTTTCCCATGATGCTTTAAACGCTGCATGCTCAAACAGATGAGACTGGATCATCCTGACTGGATCCAGTCTGGATGGATCCAGTCTGACTGGATCCATCCAGACTGGATCACCCAGACTGGATCATTCAGACTGGATCCATCCTGACTGGATCATCCAGACTGGATCATCCAGACTGGGTCCGGTGTGAACACTCAGAACCAGCGGACGACGGTTCGGTTCTGATCGTCTTCATGCTGTTGGCAGAACAAGCAGAGCAGTGAACTCGGTCGGTCTGCTTTCCGTCTGAACCAGGCAGGCTGGATGCCTGAAATAAAATACCAATAAATCTGTTGGAAATGGAAATAAATCTAAACAAAAAGACAGTTTAATGCACCTTCTATAAAAAATAAACTTTGTAGAGATCAGCAAAAACGTTGAGCTGATTGTTTGACAGCAACATGAAACCGGAGCCTTAATGGAGGAAACGTCAACACCAGCATAAGAAGTGTGTAAACAGACTGGGAGCTGTGGACCCGACCCAGCAGCTGCAGCACAGCAGACCCCAGAGAGTCACCCTGCAGCAGAACGGCTCAGGCTGCAGCACAAAACGCTGCAGAGGCCGAGGAGTCAGGCTGCTGGGAGCACCATCAGGAACAGCAGGTCGGTTCTGTTCAACGGGTCAGCAAGACAGCATGGTTCTAATCTCCTCTGTCCTGACACCAAATCACCTACATGCAGCCCGCCGCCCCGCGGGCCGAGGAGGCGACCCGCCGCCCCGCGGGCCGAGGAGGCGACCGCCGCCCGCGGGCCGAGGAGGCGACCCGCCGCCCCGCGGGCCGAGGAGGCGACCCGCCGCCCCGCGGGCCGAGGAGGCGACCCGCCGCCCCGCGGGCCGAGGAGGCGACCCGCCGCCCCGCGGGCCGAGGAGGCGACCCGCCGCCCTGCAGAACCTCCACATGTGTGGCTGAGCGCCCAGGAGGGGCGTTGGAACGCCATCGGGGTCGGGAATGAGCAGCTGTCCTGTCTGAGTCTCCACTTCCTCTCCTGCAACAGACGGAGCCTTGTGCTCGGCCACAGGCGTCCTTTCTGTCGCGGAGACACTGGACGACTTTTTCCTTTTTTCTGAGCGCTGAAGCTGCACATCGCCATGGCGACTCGTTCTCTGACTCCTGGTTCTGGACCGACCCTCGGCGCTGAAGGTCACTGCTGAAACCGGCCTGACAGGTTGAGGGGTCCAGCTGTTTCCTAGTTACAATCAGAGCCCTGAGTTCCTGCCTCTGACCTTTGACCTTGTCTGAACCGGCTCTGATGGAGAACAGGAATGACTCCAACAGCTGCGGTCCAAAAACACCCGGCTGGCGGGTCAGAACCACAGACTAAACATTTATGGAGCTAAAGCAATAAACATGAAAGGAAAACTTTTAGTTCATAAAAGAAAAAAAACTGAAAACTTCCTTAAACTCCGACTTTTATTCCTTTATTCTCCGTTTTATCTTTTGTTTTTCAATCGTTCTTAGTTTAATTTAATGCATTTTAACATGTTTTATAAATAAATGTTGCTTTATTATAAATGCTAGCTCAACTAATGTTTCCGATTAGAGCTTATTGTTAGCATAACTTTTTAGTGATGCTAACATAACACCCCTGATAAGCATCCTTCTTTACTCTGATACCCATAAATAAAACCCAGAGGGGCAATGGGAGGAGTTCAGCCATGACAAAACTCTATTTTGTTCAGTCAGTCGCTGTAAAACCGTCCATCCATTCAGTCAACACTCCCCAGTCTGAACATGAACCTGTGGTCTGACTTCAGAGCCATTTTCTTTTCTTCATCATTTTTCCTCTCAGGTGACGAACAAACGAAACGTTCAAAGGCAAACAGGCGTTTCCAGCAGATTTGACGTTTCTGCTGCTTTTCTTTGACTCGTTCCGCCTGCAGCGTTTTCCTCTGCATGTCAGCTTTGTTTTGTTTTCCTCAGATAAGAGCCGGATCAATCATCAGGCCACATTAATTATTAACTACCACGTTTTACAGCCCAGGTTAAAAGTGAGCAACGGTCTCGCCTCACCTGCTCTCCTCCTGCATCCTTTGAATTCGGAAAGAAAAACCAGAGAAACTTTTCAAAAAAACTGCAACATAGTTCAAAAGTATTTTCATTTTTCTCAGAGGAAATTAAATTATTTTCATCATAAATTAATCCTTGAAGAGATTTTGAAGGTTTTGCAAAAGAGAAGAGAAATTATCTTTGAACAAGGAAAGTCCATGACCCTCCACCTGCTGCACCGACCAATCACTGAGCTCCGGCTTTGGAGGGAGCCAATCAGAAGGAGTTATTTGGATTTGAAAGTCTGGAAATGT